GATTTCTCTCTCTCTGCGTCTCTACTAAATAAATTAAAAAAAAAAAAAACTCTCCTCCAGGCAGTCCTCCCTACCACCCTACCCCGTCAGGTAAATCGTCTGAGCTTGCAACCCTCTGGACTCCCCACAGCACAGCACTGACCACCGTGGGTTCCTGGACAGCAAAGCCTAAGGTATCTCAGGCACCCACTGGGTCTCTCAGCATCAGCCAGCCTGGGGCTGGACACCAAAGATTTCAGAAATGTCTAACACATGACGGCAACTAGCCCACTGTGTCCCACATGTTCATAACCCAGACCCCAGCAAGACCATAGCCTAACGGAAGAAATCTGTCCCATCCCCGCTGCAGCTCCCAGAAGAGGCTGCTTCCCGACCCTGGCACATCCGTGAGCAGAGCGCTCCCACCCCTGCCCTGGCGTCACCTCAAGATCCCTCACAGCAGCCGACTTCCACCAAAGCCATCTCTGCCCTGGCACCGAGAAACCTGTGGGCGAGGCCGTGATCCCCACACGACACCAACCCCAACAGCTCATCGCCACTCCCACCCTCCCGGGCCGTGCCAACATGTGGTCATCTGAGAAGCCCCTTTGCCCCATCTGGCAGTAGGGTGCACTGCTCGCCTGCCTCCCCGGGTGACAGCGGATGAGACAGAAGGTGACTCAAGAGCCTGCTGTGGTACTGGGGAAGCGAGACTCGGCACGGTGCAAACCAGAACATCCCAGCTGGAAAGAGAACCTGGGGTCATTACTGCCAGGCTTTACCCACCCCGCAAAGTGTTCTGAAGCCATGAGTCAGAGCCCAAGAAGCCAGTGCTACAGCTTGGAGCTAAGCCTTCCTGTCATCCTCCCGTTGCCCCACTCCCTCCCATCGTGGCAGCCTGATTCCTCCAACGCTCCCCCTGGAAGCCAAGGACCAAGGGGCACAAACCCTGATGATCAAAGGCCCACAGAGGGCGAGAAGGCAACACGGGCCGCCACTGCGGTACAGGGCGTAAAGCTGCATCTGCAGTGCCAGCATCCCACGTGGGCACTGGTTCAGGTCCCAGCTGCTCCACTTCCAATCCTGCTCTCTGCTAATGGCTTGGAAAAAGCAGCGGAAGATGGCCCAAGTGCTTGGGGCCCTGCACCTACATGGCACATCTGGAAGAAGCTCCTGGCTCCTGGCTTCAGCCTAGCCCAACCCTGGCTGTTGCAGCCATCTGGGGCGTGAACCAGCAGACTGAAGATCTGCCCCTCTCTCCTTCCCTCCCTATAACTCTGACTTAAAAAAAAAAAAAAAAAAAGGCACACAAATATGTAGGCCACTCAAATGGAAACCACAGCTTTCTTGTCAACCTGGTGCTGGCCAAGACATAGGCACGCGACATCATCCCCTTTCTTAACTGACTCCACCCAGGTCTCACACGGGTGCCAGGGGCCCAAGCGGTTGAGCAATCGTGTTGTGCCTCCCAGAACGCGTGAGCAGGAGCTGGAGCGGAAGCAGAGCAGCTGGTGAACTGGCACTCTGATACGGGATGCGGGTGCCCCATGAGGTGGCTTACCCTGCTGCCTCACAATCTTAATTTTTATGTGAAATCCCCCAGCTGAGTCCCAGCAACTAACTTAGAAAATAAATGTTTTACGTTTCTGTGCATCGAACAAGACATCTACACATGACAGCAACTAGCCCACTGTGTCCCACATGTTCATAACCCAGACCACAGCAAGACCACAGCCTAACGGAAGAAATCTGTCCCATCCCCACTCTTGAATGGTTCATAACCCTTGCCTACTGAGCATGACCTCCACAAAAGCAAGGATTTGCCCCTCTTCACTCTGTCCTTGACACCTGGGAACTGGAACTTGGTAACAGATGCTCAAACAGTTATGTATCAACAAATGAATCAGACAGAAACCAAACGGAGAATAAAATACTTCAAAATAGAAATGCCTTAAGGGGGCAGCATTGTGGTTCGGCAGGTGAACCTGCGACCCAGGCAACCCATACGGGCGCCAGTCCTGGCTGCTCCACTTCCATCCTGCTATGTGCCTGAGAAAGCGGCGAAGATGGCCCAAGTGCTTGGGGCCCTGCCCCCACGTGGGCGACCAGCATGGTGCTGCAGGATCACGGTTTCAGCCGGGCCGAGATCCGGCCACTGCAGCCATCTGGGGAGTGAACCAGTGGGTGGAAGACGTCCTTCTCTCCTACTCTCTCTATAACTCTGCCTTTCAAATAAATAAAATAAACCTTAAAAAAAATGTCCCAGGAAATGTCTGTTTTTGGTTCCAGAACAGAGGCCTTCAAAAGACCCAAAGCCAGAGTGAGCCTTTCAGAACTCAAGCTCACATCTCTGCTTTGCCCAGGCTTCGGTCACTCAGCTACGGACCCCTCGTCAGCACGGCCATCAGAAGCTGTGCGATCTGGCTCCTGTTCTCTGCGGCTCCCACCCTGTCCCGCCACGCTGGGCTCCTGGCTCCTTACCGCTCCCAACTTTGCCCTTTCTGGTCTCCCCGAGTGGAACACTCCTCTTCCAAGTACCCACATGACTCACTGCCTCACCTCCAGCCAATCTCTGCTGGAACGCCACCCCGTCGGACTTGCCCTGATCATCCCATTCCAAATCCACCCAGGACACCCCACTCTCCTTCTCTGGGGACCCTCTAGCTCACTCAGGTTGAGTGTCCCCTGTCCAAAATGCTTGGGAACAGAGGTGTTTTGGTTTGGGAAACATTTGCACATGCATGAGATGTCATGGGGATAGGACCCAAGTCTGTACATGAAGCTCACTTGGGTTTAGACACCTATACACTGAGTCTGAAGGTAATTTTCTACGGTATTCTCAGCCCACTTACATTTTGACTGCGACCCATTACATGAGGTCAAGTATGGAACTTTCCACTCAAAAAGTCGTGGCTTTGGGGGCCTTTTCGAGTTTTCGATTTTCAGACGAGGGATGCTCTATCCCTTACTTCTTGTTTAGTGTTCACGTTTATTTACATTCGCAGGGGCAAGAGATCGGTAAAGTGTTTCGGTTACTGGTGTAGCCCAAGGGCAAAGAGGTACGCCTGGCACACAGTGGGCACCACGATTCCTGTGATAGCAGCTTTCTGTAAACTAGAGCGAGTGCTAACTACACACATTCCCCGGGGCCTGTACACACGTCCGCCTTATCTCCCAGTACCTGCCGCAGCCCAGGCCCCCCGGGCGGCCCCCAGAGCCTGTCTGCCTGACTCCGACTTGCTGGCTTCTCTCTCTCTCTCTCCCCAAAGGCTGGCGGTTCCCGGGGGCCTCCACAGGGGCCCTCCTGCGGGGCCGGTCCCGGTCCCCAGGCGCACAGACCTCGGCCTCCTCGCCGTCACTGCTGCGCTCGCTGTCTTCCTCCTCGGAGAAGTTGCTGTCCTCGCTGTCCGACATCTTCTGCTACTGCAGGGAAGAGACGGCGGCCTCAGCGCAAGCCACAATCCAGGGCGCCACCCTAAGCCTCAGTTTCCCCGCCGGCTCCCTGGGAGAGTCTCCCTGGGCGCACTTCCGGCAGCCTCCATCTGGCAATCGCGGACCCCAGTGGGCGAGCCTCCACCCCTACGCCGCCTGCTAACTCCGCCCCGAGTCGCAGAACCCGGTCTCCACACTTCCTGGCCCCAGCAGCCCCCGGGCCTGCCACCTCTGCACAGACCCTCACCGCTCCGGTTCCACCTCCGCCTTCGGTGCCAGCTGCTGTTCGCACGACGCCTGCTGGAGACTGACGAGCCCTCTCGCGAGAATCTACCCGTCGGCCTCGCCTAACGCGAGATTTCCGGCCCCGGGCGACGCACTTCCTGGTGGCCATCTTGAGAGTGGCAACGCCGGCGCTCGCAGAGCCGACATCTTGAGAAGGTCAAAGCGGAGCCAGGTTCTTTTCCCCGGGGGAACCGGGGCTCTTCCGTCGTGGAATTTGCGCCTGAATTTACTGAGCAGCTTTTCGTTAGTGCAGACACTTAGTGCCAAGCCAGGGGGAACCATGGAATTAGAAAATAATGAATTAGCGAAGAAATCTGTTTCATCTCCCAGACCTCCTTTAGGGGAGGGGCACACTCCGCTCAGAAAATTGAACTGAGCGAGAGGCGGCAGAGCCGAGACGGCTGCCCCGGGCCGAGTGACCCTAGAGCTCCCGTTTGCTTTGCAGCGCCCCCAGACTCATTGAAACCTGAGTTTATGTCAGCCGGCTGGCAAAGATGACAGGAAAAGGAAGAAACGTGAAACACCGGACGCGACTCAGACGCACGGCCGACATTGCTCACGCAGGCCGTGGCCTCTGTGTGGAGCGGCGCGATGTCCACCCCGGAGCCGCCGCGGGGCGTGGGGTGATGGGGTCGAATGAGGAGCAGTGTCTCTCCGTGATGTCCACCCCGGAGCCGCCGCGGGGCGTGGGGTGCCGGGGCCCGAGTGCGGAGGGAGCTGTCTCTCCCTGATGTCCACCCCGGGAGCCGGCGTGGGGTGCCGGGCCCTAATGCAAAGGGAGCTGTCTCTCCGCGATGTCCACCCCGGAAGCCGGCGTGGGGCGTGGGGTGCCGGGGCCTGAGTGTGGAGGGAGCTGTCTCTCCATGAAGCTCACTCTCCCTGACCAGAGCTAAAGACAGCCGGGGAGGGCCGGGCACGTTGTGGAAAGACGCTGCCCTTCCGTAAACTTGGCTCCTTTAAATAGCAGCTTTTAAAAATAGGGCTCCACATGTGAAAAGACTCTTGACTTACTCTGGGCACAAGAAAGAGGCACACACACACCCCCACTCGCTGCCCCCGGTGGAATGTTCCTAAGGACAGGCGGTCATTCTTGTCTCGCTCCGCTGGACGTCAGAATTCTTGAGAGGAGAGGGGGAGAAGCTGACAGCCCTCCACTGGAAACCTCAAATGTCTGTCTGTCGCCAACAAGACACAGCCATTGAGGTCCATCCACGCACGCCAGGGAACCGACACAAACTGATGCTCACACGAAGGACTCTCCCCAACGCTCCCCAAGCCAAAGAAGCCAGACACCGGGCATGCACCGTATGACTCCATTCATGTGAAATCCAGATCCGCACGGACAGACAGCAGATTAGTGGGTGTCGGGTTAGCGGCAGAGACTGGGAAGGGCATGAGGGAGAGCTCGGGGGAGACGCAGATGCCGAAGTCTGCACACGTCTGTCAGAACTCTCGGACGTGCACGTGTACAGTGGGTGCCTTTTACTGTCAGTCGTACCTCAGGAAAGTTAATTTTCAAACAGACAGCGGCTCAGACTCCACCAATGACCATTTGTCAACTTCTGTGCCCGGGCCTGGCCATCAGTGTCATCTGAGTGTTCTCCAGGTGGCAACTATTTGCAGCCAGGGACCCGGGCCCCAGGACTCTCCCTGCTCTCCAGGGATGGGGATGAGGTTAGAGGACACCATGGACTGTCCATTCCTTCGCGGGAGAGGAGAGAAGAGGGAGTATCTGGAAGAGAAGAGAAAATGGAGGAAGCGGGGAGCCTTCTACCTGACCCTGTGCCCCAGGAGTTCGGAGACCTCAGCGTCAGAGCTCACCTCCCGGTACCCTTCTCTCCTCTTCCCCGGGGCTCCTGGCGCTGTGGGCGGGGCTCTCTAGCCTAGAAGGAACAGAGGCTTTAGGGTTTGGGACTTGGCGTTGGGGACCAAGTTTCCTCCCTCTGTCCAGGAGTACCTGGGAGTCTCCGTCCTCCAAGGCTTATGCTGTGGAAAGGTGCTGAGCACAAGCCCCCTGTAACAATTCCAACAGTTTGGCCAGAAAGAGGGGGACGGGTCTCTGGGGATGTCCTTCGCAGGGCAGGCAGGGCCCCTGGCTGGCTACCCACAGCCGGGACCCCAAGGCATCCAGCAGGCGCTGTAGCCGGAACACAGCAATTCCCACAGATGGGCCCTCCTCAAACCCAATCACAGCCAGCTCCAGCCTGAAGCAGCCTAGGGTCTCCGCAGGACACACCTGTGGGAACAGAGTGACCTGGCATCTCTGGGCAAGGATCTGGTCCCAAGTCCTCCCTCCTAGGGTTTTTGATGTGTGCCTCCGGACAGCCCTTTCTTCATCCGTAAAGTGGGGTTTTGAATAATCCCTTCCCCAAGGGCTGGCACTAGCCTATTACTACACCTGTGTGCAAGTTAAAAAAAGATTCTCCTAGCGAACCATCGGATGAAAGACCTCTCTCTCTCTCTCTGCCTCTCCTCTCTCTGTGTAACTCTCTCAAGTAAAACATAAATAAATCTTAAAAAAAAAAATAAAGATTCTCCTAGGGGCCGGTGTCGTGGCACACAGCAGGTTAAGCCGCTGCCTGTGACACCAGCATCCCACATGGGCGGTCCCACTCGCTTCACTTCTGACCTAGCTCCCTGCTAATGCACCTGGGAAGGCAGCAGAAGATGGCCCGTGTGCTCAGACCCCTTCCACCCTCATGGGAGACCCAGATGAAGGTCCTAGCTTCTGTCTGGCCCAGCCCCAGCTGTTGTAGCCATTTAGGGAGTGAACCAGAGGATGGCTCTCTCTCTCTCCTGGTCTCTACCTTTCTCTCTGTGTAACTCTGCCTTTAACATAGATACATCTTAGAAAAAAAAATAAAAAAGAAAAAAATAACTCCTACTCCTTCCTTAAGATATGTTCAAGTCTCAGTAGTTCCACTTCTGATCCAGCTCCCTGCTAATGTGCCTCGGAAGGCAGTGAAGAATGGCCCAGGTGCTTGGGCCCCTGTACCCACATGGGAAACCTGGAGGCTGCCGGCTCCTGGCTTCTACCTGGCCCAGCCCCAGCCTTTTTTTTTTTTTTTTTTAAAGATTTATTTTATTTACTTGAAAGACAGAGTTACAGAGAGAGGCAGAGACACAGAGAGAGGTTTTCCATCTGCTGGTTCACTCCCTAGATGGTTGCAATGACCAGAGCTGCACCAGGTCTCCCACATGGGTGCAGGGTCCCAAGGACTTGGGTCATCTTCTACTGCTTTCCCAGGCCATAGCAGAGAGCTGGATCCAAAGAGGAGCAGCTGGGACTAGAACCGGCACCCACCTGGGATGCTGGCGCTGCAGGCTGGGGCTTTACCCCTCTGCGCCACAGTGCCAGCCCCAAGCTCCAGCCATTGTGGCCAATTGAGGAGTGAATCAACAGATGGAATATCTCTCCCTAATTCTGCCTTTCATATAAGTACATCAGTCTTTTTAAAAAAATATGTCCGAGTGCTGTTTTGTTTTTTATTTGACAGGCAGAGATCTTCCATCTGCTGGTTCACTTCAAAATGCTCAAGGCTAAAGCCAGGAGTCTGGGACTCAATCCAGGTCTCCCATGTGGATGGCAAGGACCCAAGTGTTTGAACCATCACCTGCTGCCTCTCAGGGTTCATAGTAACAGGAAGCTGGAGGCAAGAGGGGCTTAAACTTGGACACTCCAGCGTGGGATGTGGGCATCCCAAACAGGACCTTAGCTCCTGTGCCAGAGGCTTGCCTTTACATGTTGATTCTCTTTTTTTTTTTTTTTTTTTTCTGACAGGCAGAGTTAGAGGAAAACAGAGAGAAAGATCTTCCTTCCGTTTTCACCCCCCAAATGGCTGCCATGGCCGGCGCGCTGTGCTGATCCGAAGCCAGGAGCCTGGTGCTTCTTCCTGGTCTCCCATGGGGTGCAGGGCCCAAGCACTTGTGCCATCCTCCACTGCACTCCCGGGCCACAGCAGAGAGCTGGCCTGGAAGAGGAGCAACTGGGACAGAATCCGGTGCCCCGACTGGGACTAGAACCCTGGGTGCTGGCACCACAGGCAGAGGATTAGCCTAGTGAGCCACAGTGCCGGCTGTACATGCTGATTCTTATTAGAATAAGATATTCTGCTGCCATTGTCAGAAACTGACACATATGCAAATCTACAGTGTCCAAGCTGTAAATGCTGTCATTGTAGGTGTGTGGTCCTTGTGCAGTGCACATCTTTCGCTGCTGCACATGGCGCCCTGTAACCTAGTGGGGTTGCTATGAAGGGTGAGTAAGCCATGGTGGGCAGCAGTTAAGGCACAGCTTGGGACACCCATATCCCACACTGGAGAGCCTGGGCCCCCGTCCAGCTCTGCTTCTGGTGCCCTCTTCCTGCTGGTGTGCACCCTGGGAGGCAGCAGGAAAAGCTCAAGTCATTGAGTCTCTGCTCCCATGTGGGAGATCTGCATGGAGCTGGGCTTTGACCTGGCCCAGCCCTGACTGTTACAGCATTCGGGAAGTGAATGAGCAGATAGGAGCTCTCTCTCTGCCAATCAAACAAAATGAAAACAAATACTAATTTTAAAAACAGCATATAGGAATTGGCACTGTAGCATAGTGGGTAAAGCCACTGCCTGCCATGCCAGCATCCCACATGGGTGCCGGCTCGTACCCTGGCTGCTTCATTTCCAATCCAGCTCCCTGCTAATGGCCCGACTGCTTGGGTCCCTGCCACACGTGTGGGAGACCTGGAAGAAGCTCCTGGCCCCTGGTTTTGGCCTGGCCCAGCCTTGGCCGTTGTGGTCATCTCGGGGTGAACCAATGGATGGAAGACCTCTCTCTCTCTGTTTCACCCCTCTCTGTCTCTGTAACTGTTTTTCAAACAAATATAATAAATCCATTTTTTAAAACCAGTAGATAAGCTAATTTACCTAAAGCACTCCTTAGACTCCCACCTGGCAGGAGCAGGCCCTGTGTAAGTGTGACTGTAACCATCACTAGCATCGCTTGCTATCTTATGCCAGTCACTGTTCTGAGGGAACAAATCTATGTGTCCAGGGTGGGGGTGGGTCAGCCACATCTGCCGACTGCCTGCACTCCAGAACACGCCCACAGATGCATGAGGAGCCCAGTAGGTCCGAACTTCCAACTTCAGGAAGGAGTTGACCAGACACTCACCGAGAGATCATCTGGGGTATACAGAGTGCCATCATTTTTGTCTCCCTACGATTTTGGGGAAAGAAAGAAAATCAGATCTCAGTCTGACCCACCCCCAAACACACCCACTGCCTCACCCCCTCAACTTCCTGCCTCCCCTCACCAGTATCTTCATGATGGCCACAAGGAAGTAAAAGGGTTCCCTTCGGCAGAGAGGGGTTCCTAGGCCCCCCAAGAGTCCCCCAAGCAGGAGGATGGTCCAGAGAGGCCACATGAGCACCTTGCCCACTCCGAGGCTTTCTCTGGTCCCCGGCCTGTGGTTCTGGAAGAAAGAGGTAAAGAAAGGGAACAGGTTGAAAGACTTCAGTGGGTGAGGGGAGCCGCCCCCTGTGTACTCCCCCACCAGCTCTACTCAAGCCATAGATATTCAAAGAACCTGTTCCAAGGGTTGGGGGAGATGGTGGCCCCAGAGACTTAGCAATATCGGCCCGCCTGTTGGGGCTGGAGGGTGCAAACTTCCGCAAGGGCAAGCATTCCTGTCCGTCTTGCTAAAAGATACCTGCACAGGCCTGGTTTGTGTCTGCAGGTGCATATTTGGGAGGCTTTTTTTTTTTTTTTTAATTTCTATATCAGGCACTCCAGAATCGTCGTGCCTGCAAGCCTGTCTGTCCTTTTCGTCTGAGGGCTGGCCTCCCTGCCTCTGAATCTCCGCACTGAGCCCGCCTCCGGCTGACCCCCTCTCTTTTCTCCTCCTCTCCTCCCCCGGCCCTTCCTTCTTCCTCTTTCTCCGGGTGTTTGGCCCTGCAGGTCTGCCTCTGGCACTGCCTTCCTCCCTCCCGCACCCCTTCTCCCTCTCTCACCCTTTCCGAGCTGACTCGGGGCTGGAGGATCGTTCCTCCCTCTGGCCCCAGACCTGCCCTCCAATCTTGACCCGGTCACCACCACGCCCCCTGAACCTTGCACCCCAGAGAAACGCAGACTACGGCCCTAAAGAGGAGCTTCTTGGTCGAAGAGAATCTTGGGGGCGGGGGGGGGGGGGGGAAGAAGCACACCTGTAGGGGAATCTAGGGCAACCCAGTTCTAGGGTTCTCCAGGCGGGGCCAGGAGTCTGTGAGCCTAGGGTGCAGTGATTTGGAGGCGAGAGTAGAGATGCCTTGGGGGAATCTGGGGAACCGGAGACTGGAGTGTAGGGACCGTGATGAGGGGGGTTCCGGGGTGAGGGTCGCTAAGAAAAGGCGCATCCTAAGGGGAGGCGGCACCGGGACGGGAGAGGAATTCCAGCGAACGGGAGATTCGGAGGGAGAGGCCTCGGAAAGGGGAGGAGTCTGGGACCCTGGATCTGGGAATCCAGCCTCAAGTCTTGCAGTGGATTCTGGAGCGAAGATTCTGACTGACGGGGGTTCTAGAAGGCAGTCCAGAAGGGACAAAGATTACTGTGGGGGTGGGAGGGAGTGAAAATCGCTCATGGAAGGGGGCGGCGGGAACCAGAATGCAAACTACGAAGAGTCGCCTTGCCCTCATGCTTCTCCCGGGCTCGCGGCGCGGCTCAGACCCCGCCCCCTGCGCTCCCGGAGGCCTTCCCGCCGCCTTCGGAGGCCCCACCCCTAGCTACGACGTGAGCCGTAAAGCTGCCCCGCGTTGCGACGTCGCGCTCAAAGCGCCTGCGCAGACCCTGAAAACTCGGCGAGGGTGGCCCCACGCTTCCCTTTTCCGGTTGTAGCGCCTCGCGGTGAGGATCGCCATAGTTCGGCAGCAGCCATGCCGTCCAAGGGCCCGCTACAGTCCGTTCAGGTCTTCGGACGGAAGGTGGGTCAGGCGCCGCAGGGGAGGGGTTGGAAGAGGCCTGGGTGTGGGAGAAGCCGGTGGGCGCGGGTCCTAGGGTCGACCTGAGAGCCGGGGCCTGAAACCCAGCGCCGTCCGGCGACTCACGCGGCCCCGCTCTTCCCCCTCTTCCCCCTCTCGCTTTCCGCAGAAGACAGCCACCGCCGTGGCCCACTGCAAACGGGGCAACGGGCTGATCAAGGTGAACGGGAGGCCGCTGGAGATGATTGAGCCACGCACGCTGCAGTACAAGGTGCGGGGGTCGGGAACGGGCCCGGAGTGGGGAGATCTTGCCGGGAAACTGGCGTGAACAGCGGGCCGTCCGACAACACCGACGGGCTCGCGGTTCCGAAGCCGTAAAAGCTGAGACCTGACAGGGGAAGCGGGACGGCGTGAATTTGACAAAGTAACGGGGGTGCTCTGAGGACGTGGGTATCTCAAAGCCCACCCACCTGGGGTGCCCACCTGGCAGGAGATGAGAGCAGTGTTTGGTTTCTGATGTTCTGGCGGCCATAGATGGTCAGTATTGGAAAGAGCGAGTGAGATTTGGGTATTCGTGATGTTACTTGTGAAAGGGAGGAGCCCCGAGTCTGGAGCCGCCCCCGGCTGTGCCGGGCGAGGCGGCTCCCTCGGCTCGCCTGCCCTGGTCCGTCTCAGTAGCCTGTTGGCACGCGTGCCTTGGGCTCACTCGGTATAGGTGCGTCTGCATGGTAGGACGAGAATTTAACGGGGTTTGGAGGACCCTTGGGTAGCGGGCACTGGGCGGTGGTGTCTTACTGGATGTCAGCTTGTTGGGGATTTGTGTGTGCGCCCTGTGTTGTGTTTTGGGGACACCGCATGTCCCTGTCCTTGTCCCAGCCTGCTAGGGAAGTGGCCCGTGTTCAGAGCCAGTCTGGAATGCCAGGTCCAGCGCGGGCCACACAGGAGGAAGCCCGCATCCGGGTTGCCTCTGCCTTGCCAGTGCCTGCTACCCCTTCAGTCCCATCCGGCTTTCTTGACTTTGGCTTCTCGCTGTCTCTGTAGAGGGGATTGCAGTGATAGTGAGACCCCCTTCCACCTGTGCTTTGAAGCTGGCTGTGGCAGAAGCCCCACACAGCTGGGGGGTGACCACCGAGGTGGCCGAGCTGTTCGGCCGATTTACTGTCTGGTCATCGCCCTGTTCCCCCAGCTGCTGGAGCCTGTTCTGCTCCTTGGCAAGGAGCGCTTTGCTGGCGTGGACATCCGGGTCCGAGTGAAGGGTGGCGGTCACGTGGCTCAGATTTATGGTGAGTCCCAGAACTGGGCACCTGGGTGCGAGGTGGTCCCGGGAGCAAGGCCCTGGTAAAACGTAAGGCCGTCGTGTGTGTCTTCCCCACAGCGATCCGCCAGTCCATCTCCAAAGCCCTGGTGGCCTATTACCAGAAATGTGAGTGACCGTGGGTCCTTCCCGGGGGCTGGGCGGTGGGTGGGCACCGCAGGATTCCTCTGGTTATGTAAATGTTCACCCTGCTCTCACCTCCAGATGTGGATGAGGCATCCAAGAAGGAGATCAAAGACATCCTCATCCAGTATGACCGCACCCTGCTGGTCGCTGACCCCCGCCGCTGCGAGTCCAAGAAGTTTGGAGGCCCCGGTGCCCGTGCTCGCTACCAGAAATCCTACCGATAGGCCCATCAGCCCGATCAGGGGTCGGCTCCATAATAAACAGTGGCTGTGGGATTTTAAATTTCTAAGAATTTCGCTGTGGTTCCTGTAATTGTGGGTCTGTGGACAGGGTTCACAAGAACAGTCCTAGCCCGTTCCCAGAAGTGACCGTTCTGGGCTTACGTGGACTGGGGGTGGGGGGAGCAGGCCTGGTCTCTTCACCTCTGGTCCAGAACAGTGAGCAGGCATAGCCCAGCCGGTGGCGGTCCTGTGCCAGAGGTGGGTGTGTGCGTTGTCCTTTGGGTTTTTTCAGTCCCTTTGCTGCTGTTGGAATGGCACGTGTGGGAAGAACGTAGGAAATACAGACAATAATTGAAGACAGGCTGGGTAGAAGCTGTGAAAGCAATTTCAGGCCAAGTCTGGGTTGGTAAAGGAATTGGCTTGAGAGAGATCTGCCATCCATTGACTCTTTTTTTTTTTTTTTTTTTTTGACAGGCAGAGTGGACAGTGAGAGAGACAGAGAGAAAGGTCTTCCTTTTAGCCGTTGGTTCACCCTCCAATGGCCGCCACGGCTGGCGCACCACGCTGATCCGATGGCAGGAGCCAGGTGCTTCTCCTGGTCTCCCATGAGGTTCAGGGCCCAAGCACTTGGGCCATTCTCCACTGCACTCCCTGGCCACAGCTGAGACTGGCCTGGAAGAGGGGCAATCGGGACAGAATCCGGCGCCCCGACCGGGACTAGAACCTGGTGTGCCGGCACCTCAAGGCGGAGGATTAGCCTAGTGAGCCGCAGTGCCGGCCCCCATTGTCTCTTAAATGTCCACAGTGGTCAGTCCTGGCCAAGGGAAAGCCATTCTCCCTTAATAGTGGCAGGGGCTCAAGTCTTTGGGCTGTCCCTGCTGCCTCCCAGTCCCATGTTAGGAAGCTGGGTGGAAGCGGAGTCAGGAGTAAGCCAGGCATTGCAGTGTGGGACACAGGAGTGATAGGGGGTGTCCTGACCTCAAGGGGGAAGACCCACCCAGGCTTGCTTTTTTATTTAGCTTTTAAAACTATTATTTATTTGAAAGAGTCACAGAGAAGGAGAGACAGGTCTTCCATCCTCAGAATGACTTCCCAAGTGGCCAGAAGCTTCTTCCAGGTCTCCCTCGTGGGTGCAGGGGCCCAAGGACTTCAGACTGTCCCCTGCCACTTTCCCAGGTACATTAGCAGAGAGCTGGACCCAAAGTGGAGCAACTGGATCTCAAACTGATGCCCATGTGAGTTGTGGCTTAACCCACTGTGCCACAGTGCTGGCCCCTGTGTTTTAAAGATCGATTTATTTGAAGGGGAAGGTGAGAGATATTCCGTCATTGGTTTACTTCCCAAATGGCCGCAGCAGTCTGGGCTGGTCCTGGCCTCAGTTGGATTTGGGAGCCGGATTGAAAGCAGAGAAGCCAGGATCCACACTGGTGGCTCCAATATTTGATGCCTACATCTCTGGCAGCAGCTTGGTGTACTACCTTGTGGTCGGGCCCCCCTCCCCAATTTTTTCCCCACTCAAAGGCAAAGTGACAGCTTCCATCCGCTGGTTCACTTCCCAAAGGCAGTGAGAGCCAGGCTGAGATAAGGTTACTGGAACTCCATTGTGACACACTGGGACCACCCTCTGCTGCTTTCCCAGGCACATAGCAGGGAGCTGGATCAGAAGTGCAGAGGCCAGGACTCATTGGGATGCCAGTGTCAAAAGAAGCAGCTGAACTTGACGTACCCCATAGCAGGTCCCTTGGAATGTTTTATAAAGATTTATTTACCTGAGTTAAACACAGAGAAGGAGAGTAAGAGGTTTTCCACTTGCTGGTTCACTCCCCGGATGGCCACAACAGCCGGAGCTAGGACGATCTGGAAGCAGGAGCTCCATCTGGGTGCAGGGACCTAAGGTTTTGGGCCATCTTCTACTGCTTTCCCAGGCCATAGCAGAGAGCTGCATGGGAAGTGGAGCAGCCGGGACTCAAACTGGTGCCCATATGGGATGCCAGCACTGCAGGCGGTGGCTTTACCTGCTATGCCACCACACCAGTCCTGGGAATATTTTTTAAATGGCAAGTTACAGTATAGAAGTTACAAGGTCAGGGGAAGGAGGGCATACACAGATTCCAGACCTCCCATCTGCTGGTCCTGGCACACTGCAGTGGCCGAGCCAGGCTCTGCTCATGGTGCTTGGTGTTGAGGTGTCAGCACCCCTGGGGAAAGTGCTTCCCTGGCTTCCAAGCAGCTGTCCACTCCAGGCGGGCCCTGGGGAGCCTGGAACTCAGTCCCAGGCTCTGGCCCCATCACTTGAGTTAAGAGCAGGCAGTCGCTGGCCGCAGACGCTGCAGCATGAGGTGCGGGTGCCCCTGGCTGGGGAGAGTAGGCATCCCAAGCAGCATCTTAAATGTTCAACCTGGCCCACTTGGAGAAACGATTTGGTTACTTGAAAGCAGACATCTTCCACCTGTAAGTTCAGGCGGGGCTGGGCCAGGCTGAAGCAGAAGCCAGGAACTCCGTCTGGGTCTCCAGGTGGGTGGCAGTGGCCCAGTATATGAGTCATTATTGCCTCCCAGGTGCATTAGAGGAAGCTGGGTGAAGCAGACACTCGGGTACCTGAGTAGCAGCAGCTGAACCTGCCCTGCCATGACACGTCCCCCCTCCCCCATTTATCTCAAATCACTTTTTCTGTGTGTGTGTGTGTGTGTTTTTTTTTTTTTTTTTTTTTTTTTTTTTTTTTTTTTTTACCATTTGGAAGGCAGTGTTACAGAGAGGCAGAGAGAACTAAATTATTCCATCCACTGGCACATTCCAAATGGCCAGAGCTGAGCAGATCAGGAGCCAGGAGCTTCTTCAGGTCTGCCTCGTGGGTGCAGGGGTCTAAGGACTTGGGCCGTCTACTGCTTTCGCAGACCTCCAGAGCTGCATTGGAAGTGGAGCAGCTGGGACTTGAACCGGTGCCCATATGGGATGCCGGCACTGCAGGAGGGGTCTGCGGCAGACCCTGCGCTCAGGCTTTTCCCGGAGACCCCCTCCTTGACCTGCTGTGGCACGACACCGGCCTCTCAACTTTTTGCAGCCCCTTCACATATAAGGAGTAGCTGGAAGGATTGTGGATTTAGACACCTTAAGGGTTCCCTGCTTCCTACCCCAACCCTGCCCAATTTTTGAAGAGGGAATGGAGTAGCTTGCCCAAGGGTACATGGTAGAGGTGAAGCCACGTTCACAGGTGTTTAGTCAGTGCAGGAGCCTGGAATGTAGCTGCCACAGATCTCTCAGAGCCCCCATTCCTACTCCACGTGTAGTCTACAATTTGGGGAGCAAGGGGCTGGAGGGAGTTGGCTCCAAGTAGTCCACTTGGGGGAGAAGCACAGGTTTGTGGGCCAGTGAGAGGTCCCTGCCCCAGGTGAGCTCCCTGGGGTGGGGGTGGAGTCAGAGCCAGCACCTGTTGGACAGCGCTGAGCTGGAGACATGTCGGTCTTGTTAGCTTAGTTCTCAGCCTCCCCTCTCAGTTGCTTGCTGGCTTTTCTTGAACACCGGCAGGGCCTGTGCTGACCTGGGGGCTTTGCAGGGAGCACAGCCCACAGAGCCTGCTGCTGCTATTGCCGGAAAAGCGTTGAATGGCCGGTGGTTTGTGGGAGCGCCTGAGTGTCCTTGCTGGGGATGGTGGTGGTCAGTACCAGCTTTTACAGCCAGCCGATGGGTCCTGCACTTGGATGCCGCTCTGCAGCCTTGTGTGGCTCCCAACTGGGCTGCAGGGGTGGTGGAACAGGTACACTGACTGGGGAACCTGGAAGGGGCAGCGGACACCTGGCCTAGTGGACAAGCTGCCAAGTAGCACCCCTGCATCCCACCACAGAGGACCTGGGTTCAGCTCCTGATTATCTTCCTGCTAATGCAGACCCCGGGAGGCCGTGGTGATGGCTCAAGCCACCTGGATTGAGTTCCCAGCTCTTAGCCTCAGCCCCGTAGCTCTTGTGTGCATTTGGGGAGTGAACCAGTGTATGCGAGTTGTCTGCCTCTCAAGTACATAATTTAAAAAAAAATTAGGGGCTGGCACTGTGGCACAGCGGGTAAAGCCGCTGCCTGCAGTGCCAGCATCCCATATGGGTGCCGGTGCGAGACCCGGCTGCTCCACTTCCGATCCAGCCCTCTGCTATGTCCTGGGAAAGCAGTAGAAGATGGCCCAAGTGCTTGGGCCCTTGCACCCTTGTGGGAGACCCAGAAGAAGCTCCTGGCTCCTGGCTTCGGATCGGCGCAGCTCTGGCTGGTGCAGCCATCTGGGGAGTGATCCAGTGGATGGAAGACACTCTCTGCCTCTCCTTTTCTCTCTGTGTAACTCTGACTTTCAAATAAAATAAATATTTAAAATTAATTTTTTTAAAACCCTGAAGCTTGAAAATAAATGAAGGGATTGTGGGGTTCACAGACCACCAACTTGGGCCAGACTTCCATCTTGGATGCATCCTGTCTTCCTGAGCTTGGTGACACGGGTGTCCCCACGTGAGACAGGAAGCTGCCCTCGTGGTAAGACGATTTGCACTGGAGCCGGACTTCACTGGGTTCAGCTGGCATTAACCTAAAGCTCCCAAGGAGGGCAGCAGGCACCACTCCTGATTTGAGCCTGGCTTAGCTCCGTTTCTAAGGAAATGCTTCCTGGCAGGCCAGCCCGTGACGTATTCCTGAGGAGGCGGTGGAGTGGGCCCTGAGGCAGAGGTAGGAGCTGGGCAGGAGGACAGAATGGAAATCATTCAGGAGGAGGGGTCTGCGGCGGACCCTGCGCTCAGGCTTTTCCCGGAGACCCCCTCCTTGAGGCTCCTGGCTCCCTCCCAGAGGCACAGCTGGGACACATCTGGAGAGGGGGCTTGGTTCCCCTTCCCCGCTCCAGGCCCTGGAGTAGACAGCCCTTCTCCCTCTCTGCCTCCTCAAATACCGGGAATTCCGGCGCTGCTGGGAGCCCAGGCCGGGCTGGGAACTTCAGCTGGGAATGTGCAGCTGGGGGTGGAGGAGGGGAGGCCAGCCCCAGCCCTGACCCCGGGGAGGCTGACTGGCTTCTCTGCTCCTGGCCGCTGTGGGACC